ACTTCAAAATATCAATTTTACCGTCAGGTAACTAACACATATATAATACTGTCACGTCAGAGGTATAGCAGCCCATGTGCTCAAAAGTGAAAAAATGTAGTTACATTACATAATTTTTTTCAGTTGTCGGTATTTTTTATTTTCATTATATTGTACTTTCGATAGTGAAAAATAGTATATGTTAAAGATTGTAACTTAGGAAAAAATTTTACGCTCCTAAGTGCTAATTGTTCAGAAGTCAAACTAGTTTTTGTCTTTTTTCTGCATTGCTTTCTTGGAGTAAAATTCTAACTGAGCGATCCAAAAAGAAAAATGTGCGACACAGAAGAAAATGTTGAAGACATCGAAGTCCCAAGTGACGGTGAGTCAATCTATGATATTGAACATACAGAAGATGAATTTTCCATCACAGAAGACTTTTCATTAGAGGAATCTTTTGAATTTAACTCTGACGAAATGGAGCTGGATGACACTACAAGCAGTCAATGTGAAGAAGATGACGATACTCCTCTGAGCCATCGTGCTGCAGAAATGGATGGTATGTGCGAAAAGAAATGGAGAGCTTACTTCAATCCACCATTTACTGAACAGGTTAGTCCGAAAAATATTCCACAAAATATTGAAAAGACAGGCGATGTTTTTTTCTGTTTATTTGCAGAAAAAAATATTCAGTTAATTTGCTGAACAATCAAATCTTTACTCCAAGCAGAAAGAAAATGATTTTGAAGTCATTAACAGCGATGAAGTAAAGAAATTCTTAGGATTGAATATAATGATGGGCATAAAAAGATTACCGTCTTATCGTGATTACTGGTCAACAAATTTGCAACTACATGATTCTTATATTAGCTCCGTTATGCCTGTGAAGCGGTTTTTTTTCTATTGTCTAATTTACATTTGAATGACAATACTAAGGAACCGAATATGATAAACTGTATAAAATTTCACCTTATCCAAATAATTTTTCTGAAACTTACGAGTATTTTTATAATCCAACCATGAATCAAGCTGTTGACGAAAGCATGGTAAAATACAAGGGCAGAAGTTGTATGAAGCAGTATATGCCAATGAAGCCGATCAAAAGAGGCTTTAAAATTTGGACTAGAGGAGATGATAATGGATACATTTCTAAATTTCAAATCTACACTGGAAAAGTAGGAAACAAAACAGAAACTCTTTTAGGTGAGAGAGTAATCAAAGATTTGAGTCTCGATCTAGTGCACAAGAATTATCGTCTTTACTTCGACAATGATTTCACATCTGTTGATTTGATGTCAAGCTTACTAACAGACGGAATCTTAGCATGTGGTACAGTTCGGAATGTTAGAAAAAACTTGCCAAAAATCCAATAGGCCGAAAAAACATGTCTCCTGGAGACAGTGAATATCGAACTTCGTATAAAGGTGTTCGATGGCTGAAATGGTAGCCAGTAAATTTTTGTCAAATTTTCAGGATCCTTCACTTATATCACAAGCCAATCGAAGACAGAAAGATGGTTCTTTGAAAGAAGTAACATGTCCACAAAGGGCCAAAGATTACAACAAGCATATGGGATGCATTGACAAAGCTGACATGCTAAAGTCATTTTATCAAATTAGTCGTAACAGCAAAAAGTGGTGGCATCGCATATTTTAGCATTTTGTGGATGTTACAGTAGTATACTCTTTTATCATATACAGACTAATGTTTCGGAAACAGAACTTGACATTGAAAGACTTTAGATTGTCAGTGGCTGATCATTTGATTGGTATCCCGAATTGACAGATGAGAGGAAGAGCATCTATAAAATCTCCAGTAAATACTTTTAAATCAAAAATTCCTGATGCAATGAGAAAATCAAACTTATTTCATCTCCCTGGTGTTCTTGATTGTCGAAGAAGATGCGGCCACTGCAGTACAAAAAAAACCAAAAACGTACAAAATTTTATTGCAAAACATGCAATGTTGCATTGTGCATTGAGGAAGGCACCAATTGTTTCGAAAAATTCCATGGATCCAAGTAGATGGAATATAGAAAAACATTTTATAAATTGAAAAAAATAAAAAATTAATGTCAACATTGAAAAAAATTTTTAAGTTATAGAATTAAAAACAAGTTGTTAATTCAGATGTTCATTACATGAACATTTTGCTTCCTCTTTACGATCAGCAAAAAAATTTGCTTCCTCGTGGAGAAAGCAATATTTTATTGCCAAAATGTGAATTTTTGATTTTTTAACTTTCATTAATTCTTTAAATTTACCTCAAATGTATACTTTATATATATATATATATCGATTGTTCTTGACGTAAGGAATACAATTATTTCATATAAAAACTTCAATTTAAAAAATCACAAAATTTTATTGCCAAAATGTGAATTTTTGATTTTTTAACTTTCATTAATATTTAAATTTACCTCAAATGTATACTTTATATATATATCGATCGATTCGTCTTGACGTAAGGAATGCGATTTTATTACATATAACCTTAAATTTTTCAATTTAAAAATTTTTTCGATTAAAAAAAATTTTTTGAAAAAAGACGATAAAATTTTTTCTTTTGGGTATTTTTGGTTTGATAGAATAATGTGCACCTCAAAGGGTTAAGTTTATGTTATCAAGACGAAAACATGTATCGAAAAGAGCAAGAAACACTTCGTCAAATAGCAAAAGCAAGCGATGCTTTTAGACGAAAACATCGATTACTTAAAATGGGTAAAAAGGCTGCAGAGACATTGTTAAAAGAAACTCTTCAACCAATAGTTAGACCTCTTCAAAAGTTGGCAAATGTAACTGAAACTCCATTTAAAAATGTTAAAATTGCAAAAATTCAAGAAAGATGATAATATAATGATTTCTCTTTTTCAACTGCTGTTGACGATGATGAAGAATTTGATAAAACTCTACTAAATTCAACTTTACTTGATAAGAGCAATAACTTTGAAAAAGAAGAAGATTATGAAAAAATTATACAGCCACACAAAAAAAAGTTTTCATCTGGGGGTCTGACTATACCTATTTTATGTTTTTTGGGTCGCTGAATCCGAATTTGAGGTCCGTTTTACCCCATCAGATCACGATTTTGAGATAACATTAAAAAACCAATATGGCGGACACTTTTTCAAAAAATTCATCGGATTTGTCTGAAACTCTTTATTCGGGGGTTTTTGGGGTCTCTGATCACAAATCTGATGTCAGTTTTCAAAATTCAAAATGTCGGATCCAAAATGGTTGCCACATTTTCGAAAAATTCATCGGATTTTTAAATTATTTTAAAATTTTTAAAAATTCAAAATGGTAGACACTTTTTCGAAAAGTTTATCAGAACCGCATGAAACTCGTTACTCGCGGATTTTCGGAGTTGCTGATTACGAATTTGAAGTCAGTTTTCAAGAATTCAAGATGGCGGACACTTTTTCGAAAAATGCCGTCATGGCAGATACACTTAAGAAATTTGATACGATGCTATTTTAAATTTTTGAAAACTGACTTTAAATTCGTAATCAGCGACTCCGTAAACCCCCGAGTAACAAGTTTCAGGCAATTCTCATGAATGTTTCGAAAAAGTGTCCACCATTTTGAATTTTTAAAAACTGACATCAGATTCGTGATCAGCGACCCCAAAAACCCCCGAATAAAGAGTTTCAGACTAATCCGATGAATTTTTCGAAAAAGTGTCCGCCACATTGGTTTTTTGAGGTTATCTCAAAATCCTGATCTGATGGGGTAAAACGGACCTCGAATTCGGATTCAGCGACACAAAAAACATAAAGTAGGTATAGTCAGACCCCCAGATCAAAACTTTTTTTTGTGTGGCTGCGTTACAAATAAATTTATTTTTATGTTAGATAAAACTAGAAAACTGTTTTTAGATATGGTTTATGGAGTACGTAAACTTGCCAAAGGTTCTTTTATGATTGGTGATAATCTTATTGAATTTGAAGGTTCACATATTAAGCTTGTTAAAAAGAAAAATTATTTAAAAACTGTTGGGTTACTCGAACTATTATTTAAGCAGAAACCAAAAGAAGCTTTAATAAGTTCAGATGATTTCTCAAATTATAAAGAAATTGTCATTGCTACGAATGCACATCGATAAAATTATAGTCCAAGTGAATCTGTCAACATAAGTAGGACTTCAAAGTACACTGATGTTATTGCAAAACTTATCAAAAGTACACCAAAGAAAAGTGGTGGTGGTGGTTCTTTAAAGAAGAAGAAACATAAAAATTTATTACCACAATTTATTATTGCAAAAAGACAATTTAATCCAGACTACATCTAGTGGGATAATCCAAATGAACTCGTTGGCTGTTTACGACTACCCATAGGATCACAGCAAGCTGGTAATCTAAGTCATAATAATGAGATTATGTCAATTATCGAAGAACTTCGTGAAGCTCGAATTATATATTAAAAGAGGGCATATAGAAAAATTGCCTAGTATTACAATGAGCATTGATGTGTTCGGACATTCTTTAACACGACCTGTTGCAAGTCGTGAACTACCTAGACCTTCTGGTATTGGATTCAAAGTTATACCAAGTGGAGACTACAATATTGAAGGCAAAAGACTTTGTAACGTTCAAGTCGCTGAAGAACTGCATGATGCAATAAATTTACGACTTGTACAACAAATTATCCGAAACGATATAAAAACTGTCTTTCAAATTACATCTTCTTTAAGATCGGCCATTGATGATTTGAATATTTTAGTACAAGTTGTTGAAGATAGAGTTAACGAAAAACTAAAACAAATTGAATTCGAACAGAATATTATTATCAAGGAAACTACATTTATTCCAAATGATGAATGATAAAAAGTTAACAGTTGTATCCTCGTCGTAAAGTTCAAATGCGTGGCGTAGATGAAACCTGGCAAGCAGATTTGGTAGAAATGATACCTTACTCCTATTCCAATAAAGGTTACAAATACATGCTCACAGTAATAGACATATTAATCTTGTACTAATTCTCATATCAAAGTACAATAATAAAAAACATCGTACGATTGGTATGAAACCTAAAGATGTCACCGTAGAAGATACAAGAGAACTGATCAGACGTATCCGCAAACTAAGAAGTATTCCGATGAAAAGACAAAAATTTAAAGTTGGAGATAGAGTTCGAGTCAGCAAACATAAAAACATCTTTAAAAAAGGATACACCCCCAATTGGAAAACGGAATTATTCACTGTAGATAAAGTTAAACGACCAAAACCAGTTACATACAAACTTACAGATTATGAAAATCAGCCAATCGAAGGTGGTTCCTACGAAGAAGAACTATTAAAAGTTAAATGTCCAGATGTTTACCTCGTCGAGAAAGTCCTTAAAAGCCGTGGTAATAATGTATATGTAAAATGGCTTGGATTTGACAACTCACACAATAATTAAATAAAAACATCAGATATGTAATATATATTAAAATAGTTAAAAATAGTCAAAATAAAGTTAAAAATAGTTAAAGAAATGTTAAAAATAGTTAAAAATAGTTAAAAAAAAGTTAAAAATAGTTAAAATTAAATTAAAGAAATGTAACTAGATTAAGGTTCTAATAAATAAACATAATATAAAATGTACAGTATCTTTTATTAAAACACCTTTATCTTTCCAAATCATCATCATCATCATCATTTATTTACAATTCCATATCTTCATCATTAATTTGTCTAATTTTACAATGTCCCCATGCAAGGGTATCGGTACTATTGGATAACAGAAATTTTTTATCGTCGTAAGGACTTAAAGCTATTTTTGTTTGTTTTAAAGTTTCAACATTGTGAAGTTTCGATCTGATACAATATTGAGTTCGCGATTGCATTTTAACATTTCGTAAACAATATGTGTAGTCATCGAAGGTAATAGTTTTCTTTACAACGGCGGATTTCACACCTTTTTCTTTTTTAATAAAATCTTGATCTTCCACTCGCACACTGTACATTTTGCTCCGCAAGCCAACAAATTCAGTAACAATTTTTCCACTACACTCATCTTTCATTAAACTTAAAAATTTTTTGTTGGCTTGCGGAATACCATAAACGTTATTTACAGGGTAATCGGAAGTGTCGAATTTGTGGATATCTGCTTTCATGTCTGCAAAGATGTCACAACATTTAATTTCATAAATTAGACTGTCGGTGTCGGTATACAATAACTTACAGTTTGTTTTGTCATACTTTTTAAAAATATAATCATAGTGAAAATCGTAGATTACAGTTTTTGAAACGTCTAAAGCGTTTGCGTTGCGTTTAGCTCCATTCTGGAAAGGGCCTAAATAAATATTTTTCAAACTCATTGCTAGCATTAGTTCTTCGCATGGTATTGAAATCAATATAACTTTTTAACCATGTGCATTGATTAAATTTTAAAACGCGATGAATTTTAATTAAAATAAGGCCGTTGGCAATAGCTTGTTTCAATGCTCGGTAATGCAGAACGTGCTTTCTTTTTGGTACGAGGGTAGTTAGGAGCTTCTGCTCTTTGGACCCTGGTGGCTTCGAGCATTTAGGGCAAAACGGAAAATCATTATGTTTATCATGTAATTCCTCGGGGTAATCTAAGTCGACTTCTAAAATGTAACCAATTGGTGCATCGTCTTCAACATTAAAATCAAAATTATTGTCAACATTTTCTACTCACTCGAAGCAACCAAAGGGAAGCGACTGAATCAGGGTCCAACCATATAGGTTGTTTGCGTCAAAGTATACGATATAAGATGTCTCCTCATTTGCATCATATTTCTCCATGTACGGATTATTAGCTTTCGCGTATCGATTGGTGCATTGACTTACTCCACCTCTTACTCCGCGTTCAATAAACATTACCATGAGTGACTATACACCGCAATGAGCAGGGAAACATTCTCATGCGAAAGTGAGAAACTTTTCTCCTCTATGAGTGAGTAAAATCAAGGTTGCCAACCTAGAAGACTAGTAAGTTGGTAAGGTAGGTATTGAATTGTTTTCCTGCAACTGTTTTTCAAGTTGTATTAAATTATAAAATTAGTTGAAGTAAGTACATATTATTTATTTTTTAAATAATAATTAAATTATTTCTGGTTAAAGGTAATTTTTTTAAACAATTCTTTATTATATTTTTAAAAATTTTGATTTTGAAATATTTTATTTAAGTAATTAAAGAAAAAATAAAAATAACATAAATTATAAACAAATTCTGTTTATCAATTTATTTAAATTTTTTATATTACATTAATAAATTTTTTTTTTAAACTAAAATATATAATTTTATTCCAATTTTATATTAATAAAAGGCAAGTTGATTAATTTCGTATTATTAGTGACATTAATTATTTTTTCTAATTTGAAACTTATTGTTATTATTTGTGGTATTAAAAGCATTTTATTTGTACACAGAATATACACCTTGTATGTTTACATTTTGATTTGATACATATTATACTCGACAATTGGAGAAGATAATGGCGAAACAAAGAAATTGGAGCATTGAAGAAACTTTATTATTATTAAATGTAGTAAAGGAGAAAAATATAATTAATAAAATGGATGGAAAAGAGTACCGGCATGCTCAATTATATAAGATTTTGGAGAGTGATTTAGAAAATCACGGGTTCCAGAGAAGTTTCGAACAGATTAAAACCAGGATGCGAACATTAAAAGGTATTTATATATATGTTACGTTTCACGTCAACCGGCCCAGAGCTCCATCCAAAATTCTAATCAACGACAATCAACTTATTACGGCTCAAAATAACCGTCAGCTGATATTGCGTCGAATAAAAAGTGGCGAATTAAAAAATTAAAAATGGCGTCCTTACTGTACCATATTTTGCAAATTTTTTTACTAACACAGCAAACAAATGTATTAATTACCTTGAGAAAATAATTGCAACTTGTTGGATAATGGGTCACTATTATGTTTTTGGGGTCGTTGATTACGAATCTGAAGTCAGATTTTAAAAATTTTCATAATTCAAGATGGCGGATCCAATATGGCGGACATATTTATTAAAATTTGATCAGATTCGCTTGAAACTTGCTACTCGGGGGTTATTGGGGTCGTTGATTACGAATATAAAGTCAGATTTAAAAAATTCAAAATGGCGGATCCAATATGGCGACCAAATTTTTTAAAAATTATCAGATGTGCTTGAAACTTGTTACTCGGGGGTTTTTGGGGTCGGTGATTACGAATTTGAATCTGGATATTATAAAATAAGATTGGTGGTTCCAAAATGGTTAATAAAGTATTTAAAAATTGGATGGATGGATTTTTGAGGTTAAGGTTTTTAGAGTGAAGGACAGTTTTTGAAATTCAATTTGAGAATATTTTAAAGTTTCAGTTGTGCTTAAATTGTAAAAAATTAATATAGAGGAAATTTTTATAAAGGAAAGGAAAAATTTTAAAACAGTAATTTCAATATTTAAAGGACGAGGTTCTTGGAGTTAAGGGTAGATTTTTCAAAATTTAATTTAAGGCTATTTAAAAGCCTCAAATTAGCAAAAATTATAAAAGATTTATATAGAGTAAATTTTAAAAAATATTAAATTTCTATATTAAGGGGTAGTTTTGGGGATTAAGGGTAGTATTTTGAAAAATTACTTTTATGATATTTAAGATCCTTTAAGGGGTTATACCTGTTTCGAGGCTTAAAAAAAGGATGTTTTTAAAGACTTTTTCGTGAATACAGTTTTAAATAATCGTTGGCAACTAATATACCACTTAATTAAGCAACTTTTAAATAATGAGAAAAAATTTTATTACGAATTTATTTTACAAATTGTCGGCTGTATGGTTGCATAAAAAGTGCAATGTATTTTTGCAGTCCTCCGCGGCGAGCAGTTGAAGTCCCCTGGATCGTCATCTAGAAGCACAAAAAATTTTTTTTCATAAACTACATAAGATTATCTAGTGAAGTACACATGATCATAATTTTAGAATTTTTTTTGTAGAATTGTGAGAATTATAAAAATAAATCGCATTTTTGACCCAAAAAAATCGATTTTAATTGTTTATAAAAAAAAATTCTCTTCATCAATTTTAAAAATCGTGTGTACTTCACTAGATAATTTAACTAAGAAGCTACAGTTAAATTTTTAGCTCAATCGGACAATAACTCTTCGAGTTCTACTGCTCGCCGATTTGTAAAATATGGTTTCGAGAAAAACGCGTTTGAAGTTTCACAACACTATAATTTTTAATAATCTCATGCATTTGGTTAATAAATTTTTTTTACCTTCACTCTGCTATCCCAGCACCATATAATTGTCCCTCAGTGGCCGTATTTGTCTCTTCCAGCTCCTTTCTCACTGAAGTTATGCTCCGTCGAGCATTTTTTTTCGGAAAAATTAAAATTATGCATTATGGCGCTTCCGAAATGCTCCAGAAAAAATAATTTTAACAACATTTCCAAGTTGTTTTCGTGCAAGGACGTCATTGATTATTAATCTAGGAATGTTATAGTCTATTTTAAGCAAAAAAAAAAAATCGAAAAAAAAATTTTTCAGGCAGGTATAACCCCTTAAATGAAGCCTAAATTTGTATGGAAGAAAAATTTAAAACAACTAATTGAATAATGTGAAAGGGGTGGTTTATGGAGTTAAGGGAGCGTTCACAAATTACGTAACGTTTTTTTTTATTAACTTTAACCCCCCCTCCCCATATAACACGTTATTGGATACATTAGCGCCATTTTTTCTGCTGTCCGTAACAAAGGGCTTGACCCCCCCTCCCCCAAAAAATGTTACGTAATTTTTGAAAGCTCCCTAAGGGTGGCGAATCCATCCAATTTTTAAATACTTTATTAGCCATTTTGGAACCACCAATCTTATTTTATAATATCCAGATTCAAATTCGTAATCACCGACCCGAAAAATCCTTGAGTAACAAGTTTCAAGCAAATCTGATAATTTTTAAAAAAATTTTGGTCGCCATATTGGATCCACCATTTTGAATTTTGAACATTTTTAAAGTCGGACTTTAGATTCGTAATGAGCGACTCCAAAAACCCCCGAGTAACCAGTTTCAAGCAAATCTGATAATTTTAAAAAAAAAATTTTCGACATATTGGATCCGCAATTTTGAATTTTCAAAATTTTTAAAATAAGACTTTAGATTCGTAATCAGCGACCCCAAAAACCCCCGAGTATCAAGTTTCAAGCAAATCTGATAATTTAAAAAAAATTTGGTCGCCATATTGGATCCGCCATTATGAATTTTTTAAATCTGACTTTATATTCGTAATCAGCGACCCCAAAAACCCCCGAGTAGCAAGTTTCAAGCGAATCTGATCAAATTTTAATAAAAATTTCCGCCATATTGGATCCGCCATCTTGAATTTTGAAAATTTTTAAAATCTGACTTCAGATTTGTTGGCGGTTGACGTGAAACTTTCCCAGGGTCGCCACACAAACTTA